TATTTAATCTAACTTTCAAAATTTGAAAAGTTTTTCTTAATAATTTTCCAATATTTGTAGGCTGTCATGATGTAATCTTATTCATTCTTCACATATTTGCTCTTTTTTCTTGTCTCACTGAAGTATATTCATATCCATCTTTTTCAAGCAACATTTCATTTTTGAACTCATGACACATTTGTTTTCTATTCTCTGCAATTAAGCTCTACCTTTAATAGTTTCTTCTCTAATTTCTTTACATTTGTTCTGTTCTTCTCAACCAAACTTCTTAAGATGCTGTCTTTAGCTTTCAGTCTGTTTTCTAACATATGCATTTTTTGTTATAATTAGTAATATTAAGTTCTGCTTCACCCTTATTCAGACAGTTCTCAATACAATATTTTTGTTTATTTCAAAATTACACACACACACACACACGAATGCTACCCAGCTGTAAATAACAGAATAAGGACGCTATGTATTAATATGAAAGTAGCTCAAAGATACACAGCATAAAGTTAAGGAAAAAATAGTACAGTACAGTATGAATTGTCCCTCCCTTTTGTAAAGGGTGGGGTGGAAGTAGTGGCTTGCTTTAGAAAGAAGCAAATATACAGCATCATATTCTCCTTTTCTCATTAAATAACATCTTAAGTAGTAATTGGTGTGTGAGTTAAAAAGTCACAAAAATAAAAATTTCTGTATATTCAGATTCACCTATGGCACCAGGATAGATGATTAAACAAGACAAAATTGTTTTATGAATACAAATAATTGAAATAAAGGTAGGACAAGAAGACAGCAAGTGCATCAATGGAAAGGCTTACAATAATTTCAACAGGTTTTTATTTGATCACTTAACATCACAAACAAAATAACATCACATTTCACACTATTGCTTTTGTTTAAGAAGTCAACCGCTTTATCCAAGTAGACAAAAAATTAATTTAAGTTGCCAACTGGAAATTCTTCCTGCAGGGAACACTACTGCTTAAATATTTTTTTAAATACTTCAACAAAAACACAGAATTGCTCTCTAATAGTACTGTGGTCGCTGGATCTTACCTGCACTACACTTTTAATGCTTCTCATCAAAAAGTGAAGACAGAAAAAACACAAATTCAAGTCATGGTTTCTCTCAGAGTACTAACAATTCCATTAATCTTCATCTACAAATTGCTTGTGCGAACAGGTACTTAAGTATGAAAGTGGAAGTTTAGGCTCCCCAGACTTGTTCAGAGAGGCAGGGTGAACACATCCTGAGAAAATCAGCTGCTGGTCCCCAGTCACCATTTTAAGGAAGATAATAAATATTATGGCCCTGCAAGCCACAAAGCTGCATGACCTTTTCTATCCCAGAATAAGCATCCTTTTGCATGCTCATATGCTATATATCCTTTGAGCAGCTCTTTGATCAAATTCTATTTAACTGAATGTTCTCAAAGGGGAGAAATAGTGCGTGCACAATTGTATGAATGCTAGAATAATAAGAATGTACATACATACAAGTGTAAACACAAAAAATTAAAGATGCTTTTAGAAAAAAAAACCGGACATTTGTAAGGAAAAAAAATGTATTTTCTAAACTATAAATGGTTTAACTGTAATGGCCAGTTTAAGATACTGATTTTAATCTCTAGCTATATTGCCAGAGGTTGGTGTAGGTTCACTGATAACCTCCTGATTTCTCCTGTTTTAGATTGTCTTTCAGAATGTATTTAAACTGCAAATGATTAAATTGTATTTTTTTACACTACTCCTGTCACTGATGTAATCTCCTCAACCTGGCATATACAAAAATTCATTTCCATGTTGATTTTACTTTTTGATGCTAAAACTAACATATTTTTCCTGCTACTTCAATGCCATAATATCCTATTCACTACTTTGGCATTTTACTAATCGTAGAAAAAGTGAAATTCTAAATATGGATTTTTACAATACATAACATTCTAACATACATTTCAAAGTAAGAGGAAGGAGGGAGGAAGAACATTATATTGTCCTTTTCTTATATGTCACTATGACGTGAAGGTCAGAAGGCTCATGCTACACTACACCTGGGAAGAGCTTGCCTTCCAAACTATCAAATCTGAGAATCTGCTGGTGGTCATTAGATCAACTGACAACACAGTGTCTGAAATAGTTATGGTTATTTTAAGCAAAAACAGGACAACATCTGTAATGTACAGAGATGAATCTGAAGAACATGTTATGAAAAAACTTTATAATGACATTTTCTTAACCCCATTCATTTTTCCCCCTCTAAAAGGGGAAAAACTTACTTAACAGTATTCCCAACCATACTTTAAGCATTCTTTTAATAAGCATCCTGACAAAGGTTTAAATCAGATCAAGATCTCAGTTGTTGCAAGATTAAAACATAAACAAATATTTTCAGCACAAAAATTAAAGACTAACTGAATTACTTTCCATAGAATAGTTAATACAGTAACAGAGTGAACTTCATGGTTAACACCTGATCTTTGTTTGAAATTCTGCTACACATCAGAAGACTCCAGCTGAAAGAAAGAGCATGAAAACACTTTTGAAAAACAGCTGAAGATATTCCCAAAAGGTGAGAAGTCCCCTATAAGAAATCAATTATGAACTTCCTATAATACTGAAGAGTTAAATTGTCACTATTATGACAAAATGGACCAAGTTTTTAAAAGTTTTATTTAAAAAATCATTTTAATGCATGTACTTGAATGTATGTGGTATTAAACACTACATGTGTTCCTTTCCAATTGGATATTTCTTACCACTCTTGACAAGTTTGAAGAGAGGTCTGTCAACAGACATGAGCAAACACTTGAAAAATACCAAGTCTTGCTATATCACATACAAGTCAGTACTTAAACAGTATATATACGTGTGTGTGTATGTGTGTCTGTGTTTGAAAGATGTGCAAAATATCATCATGCTTTAAATTATGTCTTTAACAAGTTGAATTCCACAGGGTTTAAGGAGGACTTAGTTATCACATGAACTTTCCTATCTTTAAGCTCCTTTAGTTTTGCTGAGTACAAACATGTAAATCACATCAAGAAGAAATTCCCATTAGGATCTCATCACATGTAATCCTTGACAGCACCTGCTGCCCTCCTGAGATTTTTTTAGGAGAATAAAGCTATACAAAATGCACAGTTCAAGCTATTTTAGTGTCCCACAGACAGTTAACAGAAGGTCCATACTTGCTATCTCGAAACACCACAGAGTCAAAGCAAGAGTTCAAAGTAAGAGAAGAAAGAGTTAATGGTTCAGTCAAAAAACCAATGATACTTAAAAAGATTATTAAAAAGTTTTAAATTTTCTTCTTAAATTTCCAAGACTGCTTTATTTTAGTAGAAACTGCTGAATAAAATTAAAATTTTCCTGGGCTGGAGTAGCTCAGTGGTAAAATACTTGTCTAGCATACGTGAGGTACTGGGCTTGATCCTCAGTATAGAAAGAAGGGGGATTAAAAAAAAAAAAGGAAAAAAGACTTTTAGCAAATGCATTGCTTTTCATAAGCACACACAGGTAGAAGCCCTCACACCAAACCACTAAGTAAATAAGGTTCTTTACTACAATGGATAAAAGCAAAGCAAATACTGAAAATGAGAAAATGTCAGTAAGCCTTAACACTGTGATTTTTTAAAGCAGTATTTAAAAACAACAAAGCTAGTCACACCGTCATTCTCTCATTATCTGCTATGTTCAGTAACCAAAGAAAACAAAAAAGGAGGTCATGATTCTTGATCCTGTCTGACATCTCTGCTCTTGTTACCACTAATACAGTGACATCAGGACAAGTAATTGAGATGCAAAGAAAGTCCTAAGGAAATACTCTTGCTGTTAATTAGCCTAGAAATAAAAAGAAGACAAAACAAATTAAAAACAGTTATTCTAGGCCAAAACACTTAAAGTGTTTTGAAAAGGATACCAATTTGATAGCTATGACACGTAAGAATGAAAACTGACTTGTACACATTTTCATCAACCAATTTAATATAAATACCTGATTTATACTTTTCCACAACGGGCTAAGTCCCAAGTTCCAAACTGTAGCTGACATGGCTCTACAGAGGGGATCTTTGGAAGCATAAGGTACCTTTGGAGAACAGTGTATAAACAATTGTAAACATACACTGATTGTCCACTAGCTTTCTTAAATAGAATTTCTGAAGTATTTTCGTAGGAAATTATATATAAGAGTGTAATTGATCAGATACTTTCTATTACAACATATAAATTCTGTTGTGTGTGCAAAACGTGGTAGAAATAGAAGATACTATGGGTGATTTACATTTTTAAAGTAAGTGCTACATTGCAATCCATTAAGAGTCCTTTAATCTTTTCATGAAACTTCTCTCTGTACAGGTTGAAATACATGATGCTTTCTGGTTCTTCTTGAAACCAAAACTTGTCAAATTCATAGACAAGATAACCTGCAGTTAAAGAAAAACAAAACATAAAGCCCTCAACAGTAAAACCACATTAAAAACATCTTATATCTAGGAAGCATATAATCACCCTTAAATTCCACAGTCGAATACAATCATCAAAAATAGCTGTAAAACTAAAAGAAACCTGTGAAACTTTGTAAGAAATAGTATCTATGTTCAAAATATACAATAATTCAATAGAATATTTAGTCCCCATTTACTGTTTGTCTCAAAAATTACAAAATCTCTCAAATTTGAGAGATACAGCACTTTAAAAAGTTATCTTGGAAAAAGGAAAAGAAAATATTCTCAGAGACACCTGAAGCACAAAAATGAGAATAATGAGAAAATGTTGGACTAGGATAAAGAAAAACTGTTCCCACGTGATTTCTAAATCTAAGAGTTATTTTTTTCTATGAACTATTAGTACTTTCTCTTTTTGAAAAGAATACGTGAAGTACAAATAGGTTTAATATTTTTGTTATTTCAATACCTTCATTACAATAACCCAAATGAAGCCTCAAAATGTTAAAAAGTATTTTATGAAACTAAACATATGAGTTTAAATGTAAATTTAAAACCACTCCTAAATCTTATTTTACATTCAACCAAATATATTTATTAAATAGTTTTAAATTACTTATATAGTGCTCACCATATGCTCATTTTCTCTTTTAACAACCCTATGCTGTAAACCCAGTGTTATTTCCTCCATTTTACCAAAAAGGAAACAGAGGAGCACAGAGGCCAAATGATGTGCCCCAAATTCACAGTTTGTAAGTGGTCTTGGATTTCTGTTTTCATTAGAGCCTCACTGTGCCTTCCAAAGGGACTTTCAAGAAGGGATAAAAGTGACTTATTTCAGCTAAGTCAGGAAAATAAGTCAATGACTTTATATAAAGTGTGCCTAGACTATTACTATTGCCTAGTAAGAGAAAAACAAATAGAAATTCCATTTTAAAGAGAAGCAAAGATTAATATTAGGAGCCAGAATGTTTCAATTACATTTTACTTCATAAGAAGGTTACGTTAAGAGTGATTTCAGGTTGGGGCTGGGGATGTGGCTCCTTAGTAGAGTGCTTACTTAAGCATGCCTAAGGCACTAGGTTTGATACCCAAGAATACCCAAACATCAAAATAAAAAGATTTCAGGTTAATTTCTTGATGTAAGATAAAACAGATTTTTGTCAACCAGAATATATGAGAAAAATCAAAGAATGAAACTTCCAGAAAAATATCCTCTGCTTCT